GATGGCGCTCCTGGACCACCATAGTGGACATCGCGCGACCCAAAGACCGCGCCGTAACCTTCGTTGCTCGCAGCACGAGGTCCGTCGCGGTGCGGAGCTCCGTGTGAACTTCGGGGTCGTGACCACCCTCGTGCAAGTTCCTCAGTGCCTTAGCCTGGCGTACTTGCAGCAATGCCAAAGCGTGTAAGGCGGACGCAGCTTCTCCACAGGCCGTATATGCACTGCTGATCAGAGCCGACGGGTGCCTACAGGTTCGGGAGGGGAGCAACGGTTTGCCCCGCCAAGTGGTAGCGGCATTTGGACACAATTGCATCGCAACAGACCGCTCCACCTGGGGAACTCCCGTATACCCCCTCGCTGGACCCCCATCAAGGGTGGTGAGGGAGGATGAGCCACAGGGGCGGTTTCTGGCAGTAAAAGGTAAGGTGCCGTCCATGACCCAGCGATCTCATCATGCACTTCCAGGAAGAAAGGCACTGGAGTGGGGCCCTGAGAACCAGCGCGCACTCAACCGACAAACCAATCGTCCAACCTTGAAGGTTCGGGACGCGGTGGAAGATTCCACTCGAGCCCGACTCTCTCGGCGGCCCGGGAAAGCATAGCCATCATTTCCGGGTCTGTATCCGGCACCGCTGGCCACCCAGAGGGCGGCAACGCTGACGGATCTTCATACCCAGAAAAGTCTGGCTCACCCTCCGATGCTGCGACCAACATCCGATCGTCGGGGGGAGCCTCGGAAGAAACAGATGGTATCCCCTGGGAGGATCCAGCCTGCTCTCTCGAGGGCTCCGCTGGCTTCGACGTGCCGGCTGGTTCGGGCATTCCCTTCCTTGTAGGAGGGGAATTCCTCACCGTGACCGTGAGACCAGTCCGCCCACTGTCAGAAAAAGGGTACCCCCAGCTGCCACCAGAGGGATCCCCAGATCTAGGCAGCGGCACGGGCACTCCGCCCCCTTGCAGGTAACGGAGTCTGGTCCGCAACTCCGAGATGGTCATGCCCCCGCACTGGGAGCATGAGTCATCCATGAAAGCCGCCGATCGAGGCAGCGATCGTGACCATCACCCGGTGCCAGGTAACGACCGCACCCAGAAACACACGTGTGTAAGACATCTTTAAAAAGACGCGTCTTCAAAAAGACGTTCCACCCGTGAAGCTCTTTTAGAATGGAAAATGCTCTTTTAGTGTGCTGAATAGAACCGCTCGGCTCCGAAGCGAAAAGCTGAATATGCGCTGCATCTGCTGCCTACTTATACTCACGCTGTGATCAGCAGCAGCTGGATGCAATAATCGCATGCCAATGTGCATTGGCTCGTTTAGTTTACACTCGAAG